GCTCCATACTGTGGTCTCCTCGTGAGAACGCCAAGATTTTGGCGACCCTTTTTTGACTGCAATCACTATTTCGCAGTAGTATTGAAGGGTTTTATATTCTATTGTAGTATTGAAAGGTAGTAAACTTGACCTAACTCAAAACGCTAAAGGGGACTTTTGAATGATTATTTTTAAAGGTGTTACCACTTCACGTCTAAACGGTTCAAGACAAGATCGGAGCAGGAGAGTGAGAAGGCAGATCGTGAGGCTAAAATAGGTAGACACAGGGCGTTCTAACCTACTTTGTAACCGGAAAGTAGTTTCGTTTTGAAAATTGCCTTGTGCAGCATACGTTTAAAACTGGTTTGTGTAGCATCTTGGCTACCTGGTATTTATTTACGATTTTCTTTTACAGCTGAGGAGAAAGCAAGAGAGCTTGAAACACAAGCAAGGTAATGTAGTCAAATGAGTTTTCTTTTTCCAGTTTCTTTGAGCGGAAGTCAATTGCCGAGTGTCAAAACGATCTAACAGGGGATTTGCACAATGTAACCTTTAATTTCATGTTCAGTGCGTTTTAATAATATCACTCTTCGATGTTATTTTTCAGAGAACTTCAGAAGCAGGCAGAACAAACTTCTAAAGATAAAAGGGTATCAGACTACTTTCGTTTGTTTTTTTCGCATGAATCACAAGAATACTTGAAATTACACATGTATTAACACCTGTGGCCCAGCGACAGGAATGGTTCATTTGGAAGTTATCAAGAGTACAGAACTTTGCAACTTTTGACTGAATGATTTCCGAGAAGTCAATTTCTTCGTCACTGGTTCTGATACTTGCTTGCCGCCATGTTGACTTAGTGGCAGTTTGTAACGCCACTGCGCTGTGGGAAATCTGAGTACAGTCTTTTGCGAAGAATCCTACATATTATTATGCCAGTATACGCATTAGAAACGGTTAGCGCGACTTACATGCATAAGTACCGCTTTTTGACCAAAGCAAATGCGCAGTGATGCGATAATCCCCTAGCAGACTTTGCAAAAACAAACATGGCTGCGCGCTGGAAATTTCAAAGCGAAACATAACAGAAACAAACCCTTGAATTAAAACCAGGTAAATATTTAACGACTTCAAAGTTCTAAAGCCATCGGCAGCGTCCCTGTTTCTCCGTCTTAATGAAGGAGTAGATAGCATGGTGTTTTTTCCTGCTTTTAACTGCAATTCGTTTCTGGACAAGGTGGAGCTGAGGAAGGTACAAGCGCTTGCGTCAGAAGCCAGGGCAGAGGCACAAATGAAGACCAAGATTGCAGATGCTAAAAAGAAGTACGTATCACTTGTCATCCGAAACTATCTCTTTCTAAATTGTTTTTTATGTTAGAAAAAATCTCTTCCTAAAATGATATAGCCTGCCTCACACCGCTGACGCAAACCGACCGGGGGCGACGGGAAGGGCAGGCTTAAAACGATAACGATTACAACAGCAACAATAGCAAATGTGCAACAATGATAATAACAAAGAAATAACCAAACAAATAAGTAAATAAACAGACAACTTAACTCCCAAAGTCTCAGACGCATAAATCACTCAATGATCAACCCTGCACCCCACCGCCCCCATCCCCTTACTTTCGAATATAAACCATGAATGAAATCCTTTGAATAAGTATTAAGACGGGGAGATGAAATCATTAAAGTACTTGAACGTAAGCCTTAATTTTGCGTTCTTTCTGATCCAATATAACGTTTCGCATTTGTTATTATAAATACTGTTGTATCACACATACTGTGCGTTTTTTTTCTGTAGGTCAATGAAGGAACCTAAAACACTTAACTTTACGTTTGGATTCAATATTGAAAATCGTCAGTGTTACGGCGTGTTCATCTACAATTGCAGTCGGTACGTGACCAGAAATATTTCTCTTGTTTGGCCTTTTAGATCGTGTGTGTAAATTTAAGTTGTATTTAGTGACATTTATTAATTAAAATGAAGGTGTGCTGGGGCAATGAGACATTATTTTGTCAATTCAATTGTAACGAATCCTTTCTGGTTAGCTAGTTTCAGGCCGTATCTAACCTTCCAAGTGATAAACCCTCATTTCGGCCCCAAGGAACGATTACAAATACCTACTATTGAAATGTTCTTGACGTTGCTTGCAACAAATTCGTCAGATATCGCTTTTATTCCACAGGTTAATAAGGATGTACGAAAAAGTTGGACCGCAGAAAGATGGAGGAGTGTAAGTGTGACTGATATAAGCTTTGTTTCCTTTGTTTACAATTTTATTTACAGGACTAACACTTACACTACTTACAGCACTTCTATTATACTTTTATATATTTTTACTTCTTGAATTATGTTAAATTTGTTTAGGCATCTCTCTAAATGGAAACGTGCCAATTTACCCACTCTCGACGGTAATCTCTGGACGTTCTTTATCTTGAGAACACGTTCTGACTTTTACTTTTCTTTCCCTATTGCAGGAAATGTTACGGAATCATAGGTGAGCTTTTCTTATGAAATCGTTCTGATCTACCAACAAAGCATATGTCTTCTGTGAAAGCCTGTGTCTTCCGCATGTATCAGTTATCCCCTTTTGTTTTAATTTACTTTAGGTGTCGTAGATGTGCCTTATCTCGTACTGGAACCAACTCACAACAAGCAAGATTTTGCAGACGGAAAGGTATAAAATTCTTCAAAGATCACCCTTTCTTGCTTTCTGTGCTTGAAAATCGATACCACTTACAATGACGGGTTGAACGGAAGATCTTTTATGTCCGATCTTTGATTTCTCTGGCTATTTTACTGAAAGCGTTGTCCTAACCGGTTACGTGCTACGTTGTTCATCCGGTATAAGGTATCTTATTAGAGTTAAATTACAGCACATTTTATAAAGTGTTCGTCTTAGGTCCTGTCCATACCTTTGCGTTGGTTTTCTTCCAGATATGAAGACTTTTTTTTCTTTTTAAAAAGAAACGCCTCGATTTTCACACAAAAACAGTAACAATCTTTCCTCGGCTATTCTTTCTTCCTGTTAGCTAACACTACCCTCTCCTCCCTTCCATAGGAATTTCGGCACTTACACAGGGCGCTAGGAGAGCACTTAGAACAGTACTGGAAAGACTCTCAAATTGAAAGTAAGATCGTCGTTTCACTCTCTTCTTCATTCTTTCATTTAATTTGTTCTCCGTAGTCTTTTTGCAGTCGCTGTTTAGGTTGTCACGATGAAGGGGCGGAGTGTTTAGTGACTCTCCATATAACGGCTACGAAGGAGACTGGTACAGTGGAACTTTCCGTATGTGGACACCCTTGCAAACACTTACGGGAAGCACCTAGCTATGTATCAACGTGAAGTTGAATCAAGTAATTTACCGTCGTAGCGAGTTTCTGGAGCTGTCGCCTCAAGCATAATTGGTTCGAGCAAAGTTCTCTGACGAAGGGTTACGCTCCGTAGGTCAGCTTCACAAAGTTGTTACGGCGGTAGATTTATTTTAATCAACTTCTAGTTCATACATTGCTTAGTGTTTCACTTGTCCGCCGACGCAACCAGACAGTTTCTTTAGAAACGAATTCCTTTGTCGAGGGGTGGACAAAGGAAAAGGGTCCACCTAAGGGAGGTTAAAACGTGGCTGGGACCGTCACTAAGTGCTCGCTCACGGGAGGTTACAGTCTACCTGGGTTGTTCGTCAGCGGAAGTCCAACTGTAGTTAAAGTGAATCATCGAATGGCGAAGGCTATGACGTTCTTCTCGCCAAATGAACATGCGTTTTACATCTGGTACTCCGGCTAAAGTTATTTTATATATAGTTGGTCACTTGGTCGAGAATCTCTTAGTTTCGTCTTTTGCCTAGTAAAGGAAAGAAGACAATACAGCTCTGAAACTGAGAAAAGCTCATTCATTCTAATGTGTTTTATTTCCTTCACCAGGTCAAGGTGTGACAAGGTTCTGGTAAGCTGTCTCTTTAATATTCAACCGATATGAACCTCTGTTATGTCATTGTACCATTTGAATCACGGAGTTATTACTGAGAGACTGTTTCACAATGATTGTTCTTCCTCAGGGAGACGTTCGGCTACATAGGTAGTAAATGGACAGACGGGCCATCCATGGATCAGAAGTTTGCTAGGAAAAGAGCAATGCAGATATCAGTAAAAGTACAGTGCGGTACGTACGTGATACCAGATTAAACTTGGCATATAAGGAGATTCAATCATTTCCTTTCCCAAGCTCGAAAGATCAACTGTACTTCACTTACTGATTGCTAAACACAGTGGAACCTCTCGTAAAGAAAAATAAAGTGTCCCCGTAAAATAGGGGTCCGCTTATAGAAGGATAAAAATACAGCTTTAGGTTGTTGTTGTTTTTCTTGATATCACAATTCCATGCCAGCGTGAATTAGCCGTATCCCTTCAATCGATGAGAATATAGAATTTGTAAGCAAAATGTGGTACAATGATAGTTCTTAACATCTGGTGCTTAAGCTGACACTGTTTCTTGTTTCTTCAGACGTGTGCCTTAAGTGGCGAGAGTTACCATTTGCACAGAAAAACATCGGTCGTGAATTACCCGACGATTGGTGCTGCGCCATGCATCCTGACCCGAAATGCAACAGGTTTGTTTCACCGTCATGGCCCTAACCCAGCGTCATGTGTTTCGGGCGTTTTCCTCCGGGTTCTTTATGTTTCCTTCCTTCACACACAAAAAAAACATGTCTAAATGGGCCATTCCCGAGTTACCTTGTGCCTCTGTTTCTCTGTTTCATTATGAAAATGAATTTGATTTGCCTCAAAATGAACCTGTAGACTCGCTTTGATACAGAGGTAAGAGGCATTTCGGAAATGGCCTATTCCAACTGAATGGGAAATCCGGAGGCCACAGGTCTATATTTCGTAAGATTGTTGTATGCTACAGTGTTCAAATAAAGTTGATGTGTTTTAGGGCAAGGTAAATGCGTGTGCCATTCAACACTCAGTGCAAGTTGTTTTTCTTAAACAGTTGCGAACGGCCCGAGCAGAAAGTTACGATTGCTGTTGGAACTCTGCAGAAACAAGTCAAAACTTCAGAAGAAAGGCACATGGAGATGCAGGAGGACATCCGAAAGAGACAAGAAGCGCTCAAGAAGTCAATGGAACGGCAGGTAGTTGTTTTCCACACCCTTTATATGCTAGGAATATGCTAGGAATTATTATGCTAGGAATTATTAGTGTGTCCCATTTGTACTGGAGGTTAATTGAGTGGCCGAGTGTTGGTTGGAGGGGGAGGGGAGCTCGGTTGTGGCTGATCCAAGGATTAGGTAGGGACGGGAAGATCGTTTAAGAAGATTTCCCGCATGGTCCTCCGCTGGAGCTAAATGATGATAATGATGCCCAACTTTGTCTGCTCGGGAACCTCATTCTTTGTGTTAGATAATAATTGTGATGTAATCAGTTTACAAATAACATAGTGGCTAGTGTTGCCTAGCAACAGTAGCCACAAAAAATGAGGCTCGTGAAAGTGTAACTGAAGCTGCTTCATCAATCATGTCAGGGGAACATGCAGGACTGAGGTATTCATTTTCTCCAAACTTAACTCGTCTCGGCTTTGTGCTATGAATGCAGGGATAAGCTTCAATGGTGTGGGCCACGTTGCCTCGATTACAGACTTGACCTCTAACGTTTTATTGAATGTTACACCTGTCTTTGTTCCTTTATAGCGTCAACGAACACCACAGGGCGCACAGAGAGAAGACAGGGTTAGAATTCAGCCACAAGCTGCTGCACACAAGAAGGTACCTTCCTCGGAGTTTTCGCCAAGCTATTTACAAGTTTTGTACTTTCTTGATTAATTATTAACCAAGCAAGCCAAACGATGATCTCCTTCGAAGTTGTTGTTTGATCCTCACGCGACGCGTGACAACCAAACAGCAAAGTGTTTCTTGACGAACCCAGTAACCGCTGTGAGGTAGACCTAACACCCACAGCATGTTGTTGATTGTTTGTCGGTTAGTTAAGCTGTTCATGGCAAACTGGATGAAACGATGTGGTACCTCCCTTTTGCGACTCTTAAATGCAGTGTCTCCCTTTACTTATTTTAGGGGTATTTGTTTCTTATTTAGATTGAAAGGACCTCGTCCGCTGAGAGCTCGAACTCTTCCAAGAGCGATAGCGCAGAGGTAGGAAACAATTACTGACTGAACTCCACTTTGGATTCTGAAAAACGTACGTTTGTGGTCAACATCTTCTTTTGTATTTATTTTTACAGAGGCGGTTGCCCAAGAGACCAGAGGCGGATAGCACTGAAGGAGAAAGTAGAAGGACGAAACCTTCTCACGAGGTCAGTCTGAGTAAAGACTGGGAGATATTAGAAAGATTTGACCTGATTGTTCTTGGTATTCTGAGACAGAGCGGTTCTTAGTTGAGTGTTGTAAAACCAAAATCAAACCAGTTACGTACGAGTTAGACCACTCTGCCAATCTCAAACCGTAGCAAAACCAAAACCAAGAGAGAAAAAAACCAAAGTAATTGCTTGATTACTTTGGACACTCGATTGAAAACCTCTCTAGTAGCAAAAGAAAAATATGTGATCTGTAAAGGGATCCAGTTGATTTTTAAGTTAAACGAATGATTATCTTTCCTTCTCAGCCAGTGAAACGACGAAATGAAGAATCTCGGCCTGCTGTTGAGGTTAGTTTTCATGAATTTTGCTGATAATGTGTCGGGCGTTAATGATTGGACTCTGTTAGGTATAAGTATGTCTTTTTTCCTTTCAGGCTGTACAGGCCAAACGGAAGAAAAGTGACGTACAACCAGCGAAGGTACGATTGCCAATAGAGTGGTTTTTGACATTCTGTACCTTGTGAAACTTTGACTGAAACAATCACGTGGCCAACAACGATGAACCAATCAAAATCCGACAAAAAATGGACAGCATGCAGTATGCATGTGAAAAAATGCATGGAGTATTCGTGGTTGGTTACGTTTTGCTCCAGGGTTATTGAAAAGAGCATGCTTGCATTGATAGGACAGATCACATTGGGCGAGGGTTTTCATCACAAAACCAAAGTAAATTATTATTAATTTATTAGCAATAGTTATTAATAAATTAATTAATATATATTAATAACATAAAGGTAAGGTAAAGTCTGCATGCGAGCCAAGTGGCCCATCAGGCCGGAGCTTATCGCGGTTTCTGTAGCATGAAGCGACTAGGAGTATTTCTACTCCCCCCTGGATGGGATGCTAGTCCATCGCAGGGTTACCCCCAGCATTAAGTTCGCCGGTACCCATTTRTACACCTGGGTGGAGAGAGGCACTGTGAGAGTAAAGTGTCTTGCCCGAGAACACAACACAATGTCCCCGGCCAGGGCTCGAACCCGGACCGCTCGATCCGGAGACGAGCGCACTAACCATGAGGCCACCGCGCCTCCCAATATTAATAACATAAGTATTTATAATTTAACACAAGATCAATTGAAAATCACGTTTTACTTTTTGTCTTCTCCCGGCGTCACATGTAGTGTTTTATGTGTAATGTTTCTGTTTATATGAGTATGAGTTAGGTCCGCTTGTTTATGTAAACTGCGGAAGCTACAACCCGTAGTCTCTCCGAAGTAACAAGTATTAATCTACTAGCGTTCTGTCGGGAATGCCATACTCTTATTGGGTACGCACCTCACTCTCTATTTTGTTGTAGATAGTGGGTAGCCTAGAAATGTGCGGTTGTTAACAAAATGACGGCCGCTTCTTTGCGTTTTCGAAGTTTGTGTGAAGAGGATCTAGATAAAGTTTTGAACGACTCACTAGTAGATTTATACTTATTCAGTCTCGATTTCTAAGGGTGATAGTTGACGAGGCTGCGCCCATGACAAGTATCACGCGACAGAAATCTCTAGCTCATTTAATATATAACTGCTTAATAGAATAGTCTCGGCTTGTGATATGGAATCCTCTTGTGAACTTCAACAGACTGTCGAAAGGAAAGAAAGTCAAGAACAACGAGAAAAGACGACAAAGAGTCGAGAAAAACCAAGGCCAGAAGAATCAAGACCAGCAGAACCAAGACAGGAAAAACCAAGCAGAGAGGAACCGACACCTGAGGTGCAACGACAAGAAGAACAAAGTAAAAAAGACAGAACGGAACAAGAACAACTGGAACTGGAACAGCTAATGGAATGGAGCAGCGAAGGAGAAAATGATACAGCAACGCGTAAGGAGAGCATTTCTGGAAATTATTTATTAAACTTTACTATGGTAGTGTTTTGTCTGTGGACAACTGACGAGAATAAATTCAAATGATCAACTATAAGATATAAGGGAGTTTACGCGACTACGTAGATCGATAAATAAACTCGTATTCTCATATTCTTCATGAATCTCAATGTCTATTTAGTTTATCTGTGGGTGTAAGAATTTTCCCAAGCTGAATGTGTAACGATAGAATTCATTTTTAAAGACCAATATAGATTCTGTCGTGGTTGTCACAAAACTCAGTTGGTAATTGCAATTTATGATTACGCCGAGTATAGTTACGAAATGTACCAAGATGTACAATGCAAGTACAGAACCTTTGTTCGGTTCATCAAACTTCCATGAAGTGAAATTTCTGTTAAGCTTTCTGTGAGGGAAAATGACAGCTCGAGCATGTGACTGCGAGTGTGTTGTTAGGACGCCTGCTTACAATTTTCTCTTTCTGTTGTTAGTTCCAAAGGGAACCAAAGTGGAAGCGCGGGTTGATAACTCTAAATGGTAAGTTTTCTTTCATCGAGATCGACAATAAGTTCGACAAAATATCTAAAGATCAGCTATAAGCCTGCGGGTCTTCTGCAGTCGTGGTGTAATGTAAGTGGTAAAATACGGTAAAACGTCAGATAACAAACACTTGCGTTGTTTTTGTTCAAGCCCAGGTTTATTGTAAGAATGGTTGGTTAACAGTAAAAGCTGAATGTTTGAGGTGCATACAAGAATTCTGTAATTTAACCGACCGTCTAAAGACACTGTTAAGCATAACGATGTCAAACGCAAATAACTTCTGTTGTCCTCAGATAAATACCAGTAGTCTCTGAACATACGAGAAAGTGCAAAACATGATATATAGTTATTGTTGTTATTTAAAAGCTAAATCTTAATATAAACACATCGACGTTATTGAAAGAGGATATCATACGGTCGGGGGAGACGTGGTGGGGGTGTCAAATTTGGGGTTTCTTTGGGACGTGGAGGGAACTTCCTGTCGATGTTAACTGTACTTGTTTTGTGGTGTCTAGGTATATTGGAACAGTTTTGGCTGTGAAGCCCAAAAAAGGAGCGACTTGTAGGGTTCGAGTTAAGTTCGATATGTATCCGAAGGACAAATACGATAAATGGTAAGAGTACAGAAAGTTTGAAGAGTAAATTATAAATCAGAAAAAAGTGATTTGTTGGTAATTTAGATTAAATTGTTGACTAACGAACTTGAGAATAACAGCACCTTAACTAGACAATGACTGTGTAAAGCACGACACCAGTTGACACACATCATCCGACGAAGAATTCGTTAAAGCATATTGGCAGTGAACAAACCAACAAACAAAGAGAACGAAAGAAATTAAACTTACAAGCGACTGTCCGATGGTTTAAAATAATAAGCTGCAGTCATGGCGTTCATGTAATCTCGTTTTGGTCTTCAGGTTCGACCATCCAAGTGATGACTTGAGAGTTCTACAAGTAAGTCTCGTTATAATAAAAATTGAACAAACCTTTCTTGCCAGTCATGTAGTGTTAAGCTTGGCTCAATCTCGTAGTGTTGGCGACAACAATCACTTGATACTGAAGTCCTCTCTAAGCTTTCCGTCTTGCTTATTCTCCGGACACTAAATATGTGCCATCAAAAAGCGCGGACAAACTTGCAGATACCTTTACATCAGATACCTTTTGACAGAAGTACGCTTTAATTAAAAAAAGAACTGGCAAAATATTTGTAATTGGACTAGACTATTGCTACAGTGTTAGAGAACTCTCGATCATATCCCCTTGTTGGTATGTTAACGCTATTGCACGTTATTTTCAGCCCGTCGAAGAAACAGCTCCAAAATCACCGAGCCCAAGTCGTGAGGTTCCCACCTCGACGTTTGTTGAAACGCCGCCTAATCAGCAGCAGCAACAGGAGGAGCAGCCTCAGAAGAAGCAGCGACAGCAGCAACCGCCAACAGAAGCGGTGCAGTCTCCGGAAGACAACCGAGTGTCGTCCATGTCAGACGAAACTTCTATGGTAGAACAGGAACCGCCTGCTGTTCAGGAATTCGCTGACATGCTAAGGTTTGGCAATCTCTCTAGAAGTAACAGATCATGTGAGTAATTTGTTATACTAAACATGTATTTTAACAAATTGTTTTCTTGTAGACGGTGTCTTTGCTATTTTGCACCTCCATCGTTTCGAATAAAAAAGGATGAAATAAAGGAGATGAGCACTGCCGAATTGAGAGAATTCCCACTGGTAAGAGTTACTTCAACTCAGTATGAACTTAAGTTAATCAGTGTAGAGTGCTTGGTCTAGTTGCTCAAGTGAGCCTATGTTGATAGGTTACAGCGTTGGACGGTAGTGCGAGCGGCCCTTAAAGAAGCTGCGTCACAGTTTGTGCATCTTGAAAAGTTTAGCCTAAATTTTTGAAGTTAGTCGTTTGCAATCCGTGTTTATCTTCTCCTTCCCTAACCATCCTTGTTCCTTTAAGGCTTATTATTATATAACTCTTTTTTTTTTTCCTAAGTGAACTTTTATTTTCAGAGTTTTCTTCAATTTAACGGTAATAAACAACTCAAAATAACGTGACTTAGCTCCTTTAGTCCTAGTGCGATCACATTTCAAACCTTGAAAACAGTAGATCAGTGCTTTTTAAGGCAGTTGACACCAAGACATATGCAAAGACAGACAGACAAGCATATATACAGATGTACAGTGACACAACTGGTCTTCAAGCAATAGTAGCTAACGCCATGTTGTTGTTACCTCGTTCAATTGTAAAAGGTCTGCGAGGATCATTGTTAGGCAAGCTTGTTTTGTTGTTTAAAAAAACGTATGTGTTAGTCGTTCATGAATGTCTTGTGTAAAAAGTGATCACGCTTTGATTTCTCCCTCTTTACAGGAATCCTTCTTTGATTACTACGAGAAAGGCCTGACGGAGGTATATATTCATACTTGAAGTGTTTATATATTTGTTCCAAATACTAAAATAAATAAACAAATTGATAAATAAATTTGTTTAGAGATTAATAAGTAAATAAACACTTTATTTGTGTCAGTGTCTAAAATTGTTCTTAATGGTGACACTGAAATAAGCAAACAAATATTGTAAATTGAACAGAACTTTGTGAAAAGCTAGTTGCAGGCTGACCAGTTGGCTTTTTACAAAGAGTGAAGGATTGAGTTCGGGACCACCGAACACACATCCATCCATAATGGGTTTTGCGTTTTACATCTGGTTGGGCTTAAAATATAGGTGGGAGTTTGCGTCTGAAAACGTTTCTCTGCATGTACGGGACATTCGAACGAGTAGTTAAAACGATATATAAAGAGATAACGTCTACAGTCATTGTGATTTCAGAATACCATCAGTGAAAGATCAGACAGTGCTGCGAAAGTGTCAAACTTAGAAACAGAAGAAATGTAGTAATATAAAGTTTTAGTTTGTTAGCTGACCTGTGGCAATTCTGCGATTTCAGTTGGTCAATGGTTTTCGTGATGAGAAGGAGGAAGCCCTGCAAAAAGTAGCGGAAGTCGAGGGGCGTTTGAAGGAAACGGAAAACGAAAAAGAAAAGTCCACAACGAAACTATTAAATCTAAGGAAGAATGCAGGAAAACTGCTTCGTGTCATTCAAGAGGTTAGTTGATTACCGCAATGTACTCGGACCACGTAGCAACATGCTCTTTACTGTTTTGCTTCATGTTGCTGTAATGAAATTGTTGCCTTTGTTGTTCTTGATGTAATTACATCATAATAATAATAATAATAATAATAATAATAATAATGATGATGATGATGATAATAATGATGATGATAATAATAATTTATTTAATAGTTTTTTGGGCGCATTTAGAAAACTCAATGCGCTTACATTACTATATAAGAAAAAATAAATTAGTTAAAATCTTCACAATGTTTCTTATAATAGTAAGAAGTAAAATAAATGCTGCTGTTATTGTGGTTTTACCGTTATTGTTGTTACTTTTGGTGCTGCTGCTGCACTAGCTATTGTTGTTGTTACAGTTGTCATCGCGTTATCCTCATTTATTGTTTTTTTGATTATTATTATTATTCTTTTAGGATCCTAACGAGTGCTTACTAAGCGAAGATGACGTTTCGGATACAGTGGATGAAATGATGGAAACCATCGCGCATCAGGCTGCCGAGCGATTATAGCCACAACGAATTTTTTTCCCCCAAGCTTGTTTCTTGAATTCCTTACGTGTCATTCATTTGTTTTATTTCATCATGCACCGTCTTTTTACAAGCCACAGAAGACCCAAGATTTCGTACGCTCGATCTTGTACTATGACGTCCATGACAGTTTTATACAAATGTGCTATTAGCGCTGTGCGTGAAAGTACCAGTGATGCTTTTCTACTTGAGCTATTTAAGACTAACGCAGCAATCGGCTGTGAATTGTGATTGTACAGCGTTATATGGCTAAATGCTGCTTTTTTAAAACAATTTTCGATAATCATGCTATTAGAAGATAAACTGTAGATCCCAAATGGCCGTGATGTTTGAAGCGGTCACGCAACGGTCAATGTCACGCAATGTTTCGACCGTTGCAAGTGAGAAGGCTGTTGCAAGTGGACGGAAATCGAATTCCATTCGCCCGATATTGACAATACAAATGTGCAAGTTCAGTGTTTCACACAGATACCTCAAGGGTATAAGACAGTATTTCAGTCATTTTGAACTTCAGACAGATCTATATATAAATATGAGTTTATGTTATTGTTAAACGATATTTATCGCAAACAAGAGGTAACTTTCTCAGTTACGTCAATATTATTGCCCGGTCTTGACAGCAGTTATAAAAATAATTTTTACAGAAAATCTCATTTAGAACTGTGCCTCATTTTAACGCTTCAAATGTTGAGTCAAACGCCTTATTGAGCCAGTCGTAAAACCAAAACCCAAGCAGACAGTCACTCTGGCCAATCACAATACATGTAGCCGACGCAAAGCGCGGGAAAACGAGTGGGAGTGAGTCACGATTTGTTCTGTTTTCACATCTGATTGGTTGACAAAGTGGCGCGATTGTGTTGAGTATTATTTTTTGTGAGTGTGAAAACAAAAAAACAAAAAATCCATGGCTCGAAGTCGTCGGGTCTGGACTATGTGATGAGTGGATGAGTGAGAGTGAGTGAGTCATCTATGTATGCCACACCGATCAGACCGGGGCTGCTATGAACAACCAATCAAATTGCCGCTTGTAAAGGTAAATCGGTGAGAACATTTCGTTCTGATTATCAAACAGCCATCTTTGTTCTCTTCTTTATACAGGAGTAGTTGCTTATGTATTGGCCTTAATTCGACATTTCTAATTCTGCGTCTTCTGAGAGTTTGGACGACAACTTTGTGGGTGGATTACAATTATCTACCAAGGAATCAGTGTTTGGCATGTACTAGCATGTGTTAGCCTTTGCTTTTAGCATTACATGAACCTTCGAATGAAATGAGTCTGTCATCCAGGTGGGTTTTGTGTGCGAAATGCACTATTGGGATTTGACGAGATTTTCGTGCGTATAGTTAGTTCATGGAAAACTGAAAAAGGTTCAAACCAACATTTTTGAGAGGTTGTGAGAAGAAAAACTCTCAACTTGCTGCAAACGCTGTAATTAATTTCAGCACCAATGCAGGATCAAGTAGTGTTCTTAACGTTTAACTGTCTTCTTGCTGAAACGTTTTATTGGAATCGATACAAATGGTACAAGCGGTTTTCATTGTCAAAACCAAAGAAATTCGATCAATGGTGGCAACATGCATATATAGAGATGTTATTTCCCGACGATTTTGTAATTAAATTAGTTCTCTTCACTAGCGAAATGCAATGCAAATTCGATTTTCGATTTTTCGATTTTTCGATTTTTTTTTATCTGGTTGCAGTTACATCCAGCATGAATTCTAGTCAATATTGCTCTGGAAATAATAACAACCTGGAGTACTTCCTGTTTCAGGTGAAGTCTTCATTAACTTTACAATTTAATTTGTCAAATTGGTTCAATGTCGTCATTATTTTTTCTACATAAAGAAATATACTCTTCAAGTTTATTTATGAGTTTACAATAACAAACTATGTTTTATTTCACTGACATAATCAAGGATTACAATCTTCTAGTCCAATGTTAACTCTACGATAAAGCATGTACGAAAATATAATCGACACTATTAGTTTCGTCAATTCAGTTAACGGCTGGTGTGTCGATTAAATTCACCTCGGACAGGAATGATCCACCATGCGATACCTTTCAGTACGCCCAGCTCCCACTCGTCCTGTTTCTTTGGGGTTGCAGCCGGCGAGCGGGTGGGCAGGGGAGAGCTGGGTTCTAGTGTTACTGTATAGTGAAGGGCTGTTTGCTGTGTGAGGAGAAAGTAAAACCTGGGTTAAGCGGACACCCTCTATTAAGCGGACACAAGCTTGAGTCCCTAAAATTTCTTCACACATTTACTATAAAATAAACTTGAATTCAGCGGACACCTCTGTTAAGGTAATTCCCCTGAAATAAAACTGCACATAGATTTTTGTTTAAACTTTGTCCAATGAATATTTATCATATGAGAACTTAAATTATAAAATAAAAAAGGGGGGTGCCCATGCTCGTTAAGGAGCAGTAAGGCATTGAACATGTCCCATTTTAGCGTTATTTAATGCTTATCACAAGAACGCATTCCAAGTTATTGTAAACTCTATGTGAGCCCAGACTCATGAAAACACGCCTCAAACTACAGTCAATACTTGTGTCGGAGACAAATAAACTTTTTAAGTTTGATTTTGACAGAACGCTGAGTCCTTGTTAAAATATTGGACCCAAATTGCTTGCCACGGCTATCAAACTGCAAAATAGAAAAGACTACGGTGCAGCTGCTATTTTTCTTATTTATTCAATTTTCAAACATAGAATTCAGATCAGTCTTTCTTTTCTCACGCAAAGCTAATGATTAGTTGATTAATCAGAACTGACAGAACTCGATATCAAGGCAAATCTGCCATGTTTTCAATGTGCGCCTGCACCAACGTGCGCTAATGACGCCATAAATTATGTGCAGTAAGGATGCGCAATGCAATACTGGGGAATGACCTTAAGCGGACGCGGACACCAGTATTAAGCCATTTTGTTGCACAAAACCTGCAATAAGCGGACACTTGAAGGGCATTTTGCCTCTAAAAGTTCAACCGAGACTCCTTTAACATCGTTCAACGATGTCTTTTTAAAGCTAAGTGATTATTCCAGATTGACGTATTGACTGATTGGACATTGTGCTATGAGAAGTCTTGGATCTCACACTGTGTTAAAAATGGTTAATAATTAACTGTTATTGCACAATATTAGAACCTGTTTTGAGCGGACACCCTGTGTTAAGCGAGCACTAATTAAGGAGAGTCGCAAGGGTGTCCGCTTAATACAGGTTTCACTGTAGTCGATTAGATAATGACAAGAGACATCAAATGATGTGAATTAGTCTCTCAATAATGAAATCTACTTTTAAAAAACTATATATTTTTCCAAATGAATTTTTAAAAAAAAGGGTGAAGGAAAGTTGTTAAATTTTCGCTGAATGCGATACAGAAAACAATTCAAAGGAGACAGGCATGTAAAATTTTTACCTGAAGTTTAGCATTGTCAACTTCAGTATTTGATTATACATTTTTCCTTCACACTCACCAATCTGCCAATGTAGCCGAGCACGGCGTTTGTTCGATCTTCTATTTGTCTGAATTTTCCCAAAAATTGGCTGTTCTTGTTCTGAGATTCGTGAGTTTTCAATGCCCTTATGAATTTCCTGATGGTATAGAGTTCTTCTGATATCTTCTTTAGAATCTTTTGCTCCTGAAATTGGGAAAACAAGAAAAAATATATTGGTCTCGTAACTTGTCACTCCAGGTGCTATTTGCTCAAAATACTAAAATAAATAAACAAATTTATTTATTAAATGTAGAAAGTACATCAACTAGTAAAAAGATCCGCTTTCCAGATGCGATTTGAACCCACGACCCTCAGTGATCCAGCCGGATGCTCTAACCACTGAGCTACTGGAGACTTCAGGTTAGTAAGAGTGAAATGTGGGTCTTTGCCGACTGGAACCGCATCGCGCGGTCACACAATATATCTTATAAAATTTATTTATTAATGAGTAATTTATTAGAAATAGATTTTGTCCCGACGTTTCGACCTTTCAGAGGCCAACACTGAATAAAGCGGCGTTCTTTCGATCAAAGCAAATAGATGTAGCCTTGAACTTTAAAGAATTGCTTCATGCTTAGCGTGCGTATATCGAGTTATGGATGCGAAAGAAGCGTAAGAGTTGCTCGAGGCGATAGCCGAGAGCAACTCCAGCTTCTTGAGTGCTCTCCAAACTTTCCAAGTGCATACATAACTCGATATACGCACAGCTAAAAGCATGAACCAGTTCTTTTACAACATGGCGACAACGTATTGGGCGCTAAAACATGTTTTATTTGTGATTAACTACAAAGTTCTCACAATGCACGGTGAAGGAAAACNCACAGCTAAAAGCATGAACCAGTTCTTTTACAACATGGCGACAACGTATTGGGCGCTAAAACATGTTTTATTTGTGATTAACTACAAAGTTCTCACAATGCACGGTGAAGGAAAACAAAGATCATTAGGATCCTAACAGGTCACAATCAGTTGAACGGAAACGCTTAACCTGGTTTCTAAAATTGTCAGCGAAAGATTCGCTTCTTCGATTTAATTATAATGAAAATGTAGGCAACCAAAGTCAAAAATACTCGATGAAAATGTAGACAAACAAAGTCAAAATACTCAAGTTTAAGTAAACATCTTAGCTCGGCAAAAGTCAAAGGCTCGAAGTAGGGTTTGAATTGTTCAGAATAATCTTCATATTGCCGAAACTTAAACAAAAAGGAACTCGCACTAAATTCGACGGAAATTTTGCAGCTGAAATGAAACTGCACACGTCATTTTATTGAGCACGGCCGTGCGTACATAAAGGTAGGATTAGCGTGCGCGCTATGTTATAATAACATTTAAGAAGTAGAAAACATGTACCGTGTTTCTATCGAGTTTTAGTATAAGTCTACTAGCGTTCTACCACGAATGGCGTTCTCTGATTGGCTACGCTACTCACTATCTATTCTGCGATAGATAGTGAGTAGCGTAGCAGCGTGCGCTAGAGGCCGCTTCTTTGTGTTTTCGAAGTGTCTGTAAAGAAGATTTAGATTAAAGTTTTGAATGACGAGTAGATTTATACTAAGACAATTAAATTATTCGCTCACGATTCCTATGCGTGATAGCTGACTCGGGCTGCGCCCTCGTCAACTATCACGCGATAGAAATCTCGAGCTCATAATCTAATTGCTTAATAGAAACACGAGTGGAAGGTTAGGAGAACGAGAAATGCTGTGGGAACACGAGCCGCAGGCGAGTGTTTCCACAACTTTTTCGAGTTCTCGCAAACTTTCACGAGTGTTTCTATAACTCGATAGTAACACGGAGAACATGTTTTCTATTTCTTTTAGAAAACACCACGAAAAAGTGGAAGAAAAAGGAAAAAAACTTGTTAACTTTGATTATCGAAACGTAAGTTCTCTTTGCTCGCGCCATCATTACGTCAACAGCTCGTGCTAGTTCTGTGTTTCTATCAAGTTATAGAAACACAATTTTTAACCAATCAGCGCGCGTGTTTTCTTAGGACTGTTTTCTAAAAGCTTTTACTAACTGTACGTAGAAATTATTTTTTTGTAATGAATCTGAACTTCGCGAGCCGACTGAATAATCTGCGTAAATAAGAAATGATTTCAAAGTATTCTAATGCCCTGTCCACACTTAGCCGGAGGAATTTGAAAACAGAGGTTTATTTCAACGGTTAGGCCTAGCTTTTCGCAAACGCTTTTCAAACCAGAGGAATTTGAAAACGCCAGCTCCAAAATGACCGGTGATTGTTGCGTTTTCAAATTCCTCCAACGTAGTGTGGACTTACCGACAGTGAACACAGATTCCATGTTGGATCAGGTAGTCCTCGGACTCGATGATCGTAGTTAGCGTAATAAACATCTCCCAGACGATCTTTGGCCTATACAGATAAGACAAGCAAGCTGCATGAGCGATGATATAGTATACTGTATAGTATACGGTCAGGAAATCTGATACGCGTTTATTGAATTTGTAAAATTACATTACTTGCAAACATTTTGGACGTTAAAGGAAAGTTTCGGACGTTTAGGGTTTGAACACTTTATATCATTTCTGTCAAATTTCTATCCAAAAACTTTGAAACAACATCTGAAAAAGACAGTTTTACTCCACCCTCAAGTCTATCAAGCCGTTACGTATCTCAAGCAAAGTCTCAACCATAGTTCGCTCCATAAAGGGAACTAAAAGCTTTGGAGCTACGGCAAAGTTTTACTCTCACTGTAAAAATTCACGACCATTTTATTTTCGGATACCTTTTTTGTCCGAAATTAAAAGCGTCCGAATATTTTTGCAAGTTATATAGGCAAAAACTACTAGTGCACCCTTTCAGAAGAAATCGATGGGAAGCAACACCCCCCAACATGACAGAAAAAAAGATTTCTTCAGAGCAACATAAATTAAGGTTCAATAATTTTCTTAATATTTAACTTACAAAGTCTGCCTGAGTTCTTGCGACAGCTCCTTCGAGTTGAATTAGACTTGCAAATATCCATTTCTTAATGACAGACATTGAAGGCTGAGGTGGAGACGCCTGTCCAGTGCTGGTTTGGGCTGAGGCCGCCATGGAGCTGCCAATAAGCATCAGCAAAATTGACATGATGCCCAGAGAAACCACGAGCTGTGAGTAACCTGTTTCGATGAGAATGAGAGAGTTACACTTTTTTTGAAAGGGGAAACATTTAGATTTAGCTACAAGTTTGAACGATAGTTTGTTTAGTTTCAGTAATTACCACGAGGAGAAGGGTTAGCCTTCAAACAACGAGCGATCAAGCGAGCCCTTGAAGCTAAGCCACAAGATAAACTAAAACGATGATCACATTAATATAATGATACTTTAAAGCTTAGGTTGTTTCAAAGAGAAGAAATTAAACTGATGAAACAGCCAGGTGGCACGGAGCTTACTTAGGTTAATATGTGGATAAACGTTTGACATCAACGTTGTCTTCGTTAACGCGGACCCAACAGCTTATCAAGCTAAATAAATATTTAGTTTGTAGATTCCCTCTGACAAAGTATTCTAGACGACTGTCACCAAACTAAAACATAATCTAAATGAAAGCCCTAAAACAGTCTTATCCACTGACCTGGTATTGTGGTTTTCATGTTTACAGGGCACAGTTGTTCAAACGCGCTTGATTTGTTCCAAATAATGCTATTAGAAACTAGATCCGGTTTGAATGATCTTTCTCCTTCTTTGAACGAGCCACGAGACATGTTGCTAAATATGATGATCTAATGCGATCTAAATATGATGAACTAATGTTTGATCGCGCATTTCTGCTTTCTTCTAACTGGTCCATTTTCAGAAACTATGTGATGGTTTGAAATTATGTTCTCTCGACTTAACTACCC